GCCAGAAGAAAAACACCTGGATGCTATAAGAAGGACTGCTGAAGAGAATAAAATAACACCATCAACTCTGAATTCTATATCATTAAAGATACTCTAAGGATGAAGATGAAATAAAGACTTTTTTGGATAAACAAAAACTACGAACTTAGTATCAGCAGACCTATACTACAAGGAGCTCTAAAGGAAATCCATCAGGTTAAAGGGTAATGATACCAGATGGAAACTCAGATCTTTAGGAAATAGTAAATATGTGAGGAAAGAGACAGGATTACTTTTTTTCCTCTTATCTTTTAAAAAATACATGACTTTCTAAAGCAAAACTATAACATTGTATTGTGGGGTTACATAAAGTATCAGGGATGGAGGGTGGTAAATTGTTCTTACATGTGAAGGGGTACAACATTGACTCAAGTAAACTGGTTAGACTTAGGGATATATATTGTAACCCCTAGAACAGTCACTTATAATGCAGATAGGTATACTAAAAAGCCAATAGATAAAATGAAATTCTCAAAAAACATTTGGTTAGCCCAAAAGAAGTCAGGGAAAGAGGAATAGAGACAAAAACAGAAAACTTGAAGGAAAAAAAAAGAAAGAAGAAAACTTGGGGCTGAGGAGGGAGACTAATAAGATGGTAGCTCTGAATTCAATCACATCAGTAACTAATTTAAGTGTAAATGGACCAGTTATTCTAATTGAAAGATAAGGGATTTTCTGTGTGTGTATATGTATCAAGACCTAACTACATGATATCTGTGAGAGATATACTTTAAATATAAAGACACAGGTTGAAAATAAATGTGTAGGAAAAAGTATACTATCTAAATAGTAAATATAGGGAATTCCCTGGTGGTCCAGTGGTTAGGACTTGGCGCTTTCCCTGCCCTGGGCCTGGGTTCAGTCCTTGGTCGGGGAACTAAGATCCCGCAAGGCATGTGGCATGGCCAAAAAAACCCCAAAACGGTAAATATAGTAAGATTGGGCTAGATTAATAGCAGATAAAAAACTATTACCAAAGAAAAGACTCTTACTAGAGATAAAGACATTTTATAATGTTGAAAGGGTCATTAGGAAGACTTTATGCCTGATAACAAAGCTTCAAAATACATGAAGCAAACATTAATAGAATTGAAAGAAAAAATTCAAATCCATAACCATTGTTGTGTATTTTAACACCCTCTTAGCAGTTGTTAGAACTAGATAAACATCAGACGTAAAATAATGAAAACAATATGCAGTTTCTTTACTGAACACAAGATGGCAAAGTAGTCACAGTACTTGCAAAAATGGATCTGTGTTTTTGAATACAGTGAAATATGCCATGATTTTACTATGTGAGCACACCCTTTTCCTTCATTTATTGTAGAGCCAACAAAATGAACAGTGGTGATTAGTGAAATAAACAGGAATACTGCAGTATAGTAGCATAATACTTTGTATATACATGATAGACGTTAAATAAACTTTTGTTGAATTAATGTAATGTGGGGCTTTGGAGTTACATTTGTGTTTGAATTTTAAAACAAATTATTTAAAAAGCTAATTATAAAATTACCACTTTTACTTATAGCAGTAGTTCTCAAACTTTTTGGTTTTAAGATCCGTTTACTCCTTTAAAAATTACTGAGGACCCCAAAGAACGTCTATTTATCATGGTCATATCTATTGATGTTTACCCTTCAGAAATTAAAATTGAGAAATTGAAAGAATTTTAAAAATTGATTTAAAAATAAACTCACTGTATGTTATCATAAGTAATAATATTTTCATGAAAAATAACTATATTTTCCAAAACAAAACATAGTGAGAAAGTGACATTGTTTTACATGTTGGCAAATATCTTTAATGTATGGCTTAATAGATAACAACCATATTCTCATATCACCTTCTGCATTTAATCTTGTACACTTGTGAAAGAATTTTTTAAAAAAGGCAGGCAGCATCTTAGTATTGCTATGAAAAAGTTTTGACCTTGGACCACCAAAAGAGTCTTGAGCTTTGCAGGAGCCCCCGGACCATAGTTTGAAACTCTCTGACTTACGACATAGAACAAAGAAAAAGTGAAAAATTACTAGTTAGTGGGTGTGTGGCCTGAACCATGGGGATGCCCTTCCCTCCTTATTAGTGGGCTGTCAGGGTTCACATATATGGGTACCTAACCTGAAAAATTGTGGGAGCCCCATCTGGGAGCTAGATTAATAGATATAAAAGGTCCACTTGTGTCTTCCATTGTGCTGTGTCATCTAGAGCTGGGGGTTGAGAATAGTTTGGGTCATGCTGCAATCCAGTTCTGAGTTCAGTTATCTGAGATATGAGGTGTGATTCAGGTTCCACAGGTGGCAAAAGGCTTTTCCTCTCTAGGGGGAGTTGGAGTAGTGACTTAAAAAAGAGAGGTCTGGAATTGGAACCTTCACATATTGCTGCAGAGAATGGAAAACAGTTCCTCAAAAGGTTAAACATAGATTGCTGTGTGACCCAGGAAGTTCACTCCTTGGTATATACTCAACAGAAATACAAATATATGCCCACACAAAGCCATGTGCACAAATGTTCATAGCAGCATTATTCATAAAAGCTAAAAAGTGGAAACAACCTAAATGTCCCCGAGCTGATGGATGGATAACTAAAATGTAGCCCATCCATACATAAAATATTATTCAGCTGGAAAAAGGAATGAAGTACTGATACATGCAACACCATGGATGAACCTTGAAAATAGTATACTAAGTGAGAGAAGGCAAATACAAGAGACCACAAATTGTGTGATTCCATTTATGTGAAATGCCCTAAATATTTAAATCTAAAGAGACAGAAAGTACCTTTGTGGTTACCTGAGGCTGGAGGGGATGGGAGGAATGCTACCTGAAAACTGTTTCTGCATGTTGTTAAATTGTACTGTATGTTATGTGGTCCACGGCCTCTGTATAGGGACTCAGGTCTTTGCAATATCAATATCAAAAACTCGAAGGGAGTCTTCTGCCTTTAAATAACTAATGAGTCTCTGTTTGTTTGTTGCTCCATTTTAATACTTCTTAAGATCTGGTGATGAGACCACTGTAACTAGTATCTCCTTTGGCCTTAGCTGCTAGGAAGTTCAGGACCGCATTTAATTGCTCAACCATAGTAAAACTGTTAGCTAGGCTAGGCAACTGGTATATTTTCTTTTCTTTTACACGTTTTAGTGTGTGTTTTTAAAATTTGTACGCACAAACTTACACAAACTTAAAGTTAATGTATTACTGTAAGATGCCCATAGTCTTTATCAGTAGCAGTTGGGGTTTAAATTACAACAAAAATATACGTGAAAAACCAGAGGCAGCGTTTGCTAAGATGGAAGAGTTCTTTGTGTGTAAAATGGCAACATTAGTTTTCAGGTTATACCTGAAATGATATTGATCCTTGAACTAAGCTTTTCAACAAGCAGTTTTAAACTAGATGTTGTATCTTTAAAAGCCTATTGGGAATAATTCTGATCCTAATCATTACTTCAGACATTTGTGGTCTGTGGAATTGGGAGCATTAAACAATAGCAAAAATTCCTTCTAAATTTGTTGGGGAAAGGTGAATGGGGAAGGAGAGACAGGGGAACCCTGCCAGTTTTTTTTTTTTTTTTTCCTGACTTTTTTGGAGGACTGCTGGAAGAGAGATTTTGTGAATTTACTTCTTTTTGTGAATTGCCTTTAAGCAATTTTACAAAGAAACCTGGACTGCTTGGTTATTTTCCAAAATTAAGCTGGTGGAAAAATTACAGTACCTTTCTTGAGTCTGAAATTCAACTACTTTCCTTCCAAGATTATTATATAGGATGAACATTTTAAATTATCTGAGGTTATTTAAATTCATGGAAGCCATTACATAAGGAATAGTCCTGGATATAAGAAAACCAGTTGTCCTCCTTGCACTCTTGAGGAGTCTTGAGGGCTGGATTTGTCTGCTCTCTAGTTTACTACAAGTGAAGGATTAAAAAGGAATTCACTTCCTTGGGTAGACTATTCATTGAGCTTTTCTCCTATATTTCTTGTTCCCTATTCCTTCTTCTTAAAAAAATAAAAACATAGTTAAATATATGAACAGATAAAGTAAATATTGGGGAAGATGAAAGGATTATTAAGATCTAAATAATAATCTTGGTTCCTTGTGCAACTGCAGAGAAGAATTGTGCTTGCTTTCGCAGACCGTGCCTCAGTGGCCCAGTCACCATCTCAGCCTTTACTGAGATGATCAACATATGGGTGACAGCTCCATTCTTTTTCATCAGATTCTCCTGCCAGGGCAGTAGAGGACGAGGAAGTGGTAATATGAGAGAGAGAGGTGGGGGCAGAGAGAACTGTTAAATATTATATATGGTGTTTCATAATTTCTTTGCCTTAGGAGGCAGTTCTCTATAGGTCTTTGCACACCTGCATAGCTTGCGAGCAGATGCGCCGACTGTCATTGTTCTAGGCAGTCTTTTCAGGGATGTTTGCGTAGTGCACAACCTTAGATGGTAGAGCTAGTGTCTCCCTCTAGAGTAAAGGACAGCTTTGCTTACTGTTCAGTATAATAGAGATCATGTCTCCCTCCACAGCAAAGGGCCAGGTGTATTTACTGCTCTTTAGAAAATGTTCGAGCTTCCTAAGCTCAAGGTTGCTCTTCCGTCACGAAGCACATTGAGTTTACAGGTGTTATCTGGCCCTCTTCACATAGCTCTGTGGGAATTGGGGTTCAGGGAACTCATGCAGATGCTCATATTCTAGTTACCTCTACTGATGTAAGTACTAAGCTCTCCTTTGTTTCTAACCTGGGAGTCTCGTGTTTTCTGTCAGGACCCATGAAACTGGCAGGCTAACTTGTTAGCTTGCAAGTATGGTGAAATCTCAGACCCCTCATATTCTTAATACTTCTAAATAATGGTTTGTTAAATGGAATGTATTTGGAAAAATTTATTGAAACTTCGATTTCTAATTTGTGCAGTTTGTAAGAAGTTCATTTAGGGTGTTATTTCTCCTTATTTGATGTAGGGTTTGTTTATAATGTCAGCCCGTACATGGAGTATCACCCTGGTGGAGAAGAGGAACTTATGAGTGCAGCGGGATCAGATGGTACTGACCTTTTTGACCAGGTAAGGTGCTGAAAGTGACCATTCCCTCACAGTGGAGGAGTGCTCTTAGGTTCAGCAGTGCGACAGTGGTAGAAAGAAAGAAAATAGTGGCATAAATTTCAGACGTGTGGCTTGAATTTTGAAGTGTGGGAAGATGCTCATAAGTAACAACTGTTCATTTAATTTGAATTATTTTACTAACGGTTTAGAGTTGCTCTCAGATCTGTATCTGGGAGTTTACTCTTAAGTGTTTGCTGCTCCTCTGCTGGTAACTGTTTACTCAGTTTTGATCAATTTTGATAATGGTGATGACTGACTTATAGGAGGCGGTGACCATTAGAGGAAATAACAAGTCCCTTAGCTTCTTTGCTCATTTGGGGATTGTTACATAATCAGCCTGTCTTGCTGTACTAAGTCTGCATATTATGTAGAAAGATCATTAATGAATAGAAAACATTTTTCCTAGAGATAGCAGAGATTCTGTAGTATGTGTCAAAAGATACTTAAATTAGTCACTTTTCCCCCTTATATTTATTAAAAACAATGATTAGCTCTTGTACTGTTTAAAAATCATGTAGAATATGATAATTACTATCAATTGGCTGAACTGCTATTTTGAAACAACTATCTTGAGAAGAATAGAAATTTGTCTTTGTCTCACAAATGCTTTATTTTGTATTTTAGCGATGATTAACCGTGTTGTAGTACTGGGTTTTTACCATCTGAGATACCTGTATCAGATTGGGTTATTTTTAGAGTTGCGTTCTGAACAAATGAAATTTGATTTCTGTTCCTCTTACCTTCTCATCCGTTGTAGGATTTATTTTTTGACCAGGACACCAGAAATACAATTTGTTTTGTATTTTAATGTACTTACATGCATCTGCTTAAATAACCGAATCTCATTTGCTGTTAATGTTTTTCCTGGGATGGAGAAAAGTCATTTTCACCCATTGGTGATAATAGGATTCTCCTTGGGAGGTCCTCGTTGCTGATTTAAATTCCCGTTGTCATTTGATGTTTGTTATTGGCTAGCAGTGCAAGCCAAATAGAAAGTTTGGGAATATTTGCCGGAAAGCTTGTCTACCACACTTTTATCTGTCCTGTGTCAACTGAAAAAAAAATTCACAATGTGAGAGTTGTGAGTTAAGTTTTATTTGGGGCGAAATGAGGACCGTAGCCTGGGAGACAGCATTTCAGGTAGCTCTGAGAAACTGCTCCCAAGAGGTAGAGGGAGAGGGCGGTATTGTGTGATTTTAGTGAAGAGGGGTGCGGGGAGTCAGGCACACGTTTTGGCAGATGCCTACTGCTAGTTACGAGGAGCAGGTGCCACCTTAAATGATCTTAGTGCTTTTCTAGACATGAGAAGATGCAGGGATTTGGGCTCATAAAATCATCTCCTGAAAATATCTAACTCTCTGAAGGCCTGTTCTGCCAGTTTTTCCCAGAGTACAGAGTGCGTCATTCCTGCTCTCCACCCTGCACTCCTTTCGGGGGGTGTTGAAGGTCAGCAGCTGCGGTGGCTAGTGACTTAGTCCTTGAAGAGGCAAGATGGCAAGTACCAGTTTTTAGCTGGCACCTATAACCTCTTGATGCTGAATGTACTCTTCCACAAGAAGAGTTTCCGGTAACATCTAGTCCTGTTTATATTTCTTATTGTTGTGCGATTATATGGACCTTATTGAAATAAGTTTGTTTTGGGGAAGTCACAAGAGCTGCTATGTTGTTAAATTCTTTAGCAGTATCAACAGTACTTTTTTTGACCAAAAAAAAATGCACAACCTAAAAGTTGAGAATTATGTTTTATTTGAGGCGTTACTGAGGACTGTAGTCTGGAAACAGCCTCTCAGATAGCTCTGAGAAACTGTTCCAAAGAGGTAAGGGAGAAACCAGGATATATAGGAGCTTTTGCTGGGAAAAAACATGTAGTAGAACATCGAAACATTACTACTAATCACAAAAAGCAGGCATCTCAGTTAATTATTTTAGTGCTTTTCTGTGTATGGGAAGATGCAAGAGTCTGGGCTTGTTGAAATTGTTCCTTTAATATGCACCTTAACTCTCTAGTGCCAGTATCCTCTTTTTCTCCATCCTGAATTCCTCTTAGGCCACACCATCGGGGGCGGCTGCAGTGGCTTGATGGCTTTATGGCTGCGACATCCTTTGATTACTGAAATGTCAGGCTACACCCTTTGTCCACACTTTAGTTACCAGATTGCTGCATTCCCCTTGGCTTTAATAAGACCAATGATGTTTATTTATGACTTTTACTCACCACAGAAGTAAACAACTTGATAAAATTCTAGAAACAGTGGTGAAGTGTCTTATATCTTTAATATCTAGTATTTGAGTTGTACAAAGAATATTAAGTAATCTCTTTATCATCAGACTTCTGTCTCTAGTTTTGATCTCACTTCTGACTTCTCGTTTCGTATTTCCAGTTGGCTGATGGGCGATTTGAAAACCTGTTGGCAGTTGAACTCAGTGTGCCCTCAGATAATATCAACTCATCTTCTTCCCTTTGTTTTTTCTACTGTTTCCTGTTTCTGGAAACGGGAACTTGAAACCACTTGAGTAATCTTTACCTTCTCTCATTGTATTATTGAAGTGATCACCTGGACCTGTGCCAGGGTCTTGGCCCAGGTCAAGATCCCTTGTCTCAGCCTGGGAGGTTCTTTTTCTGCTTGGATTCGTATAGCCAATAACAAAACCAGTGCTGAGACTGGAACAGCACAAGCTTTATTCGGTGGCCAAAGAATGGAGAAGCAAGAACTAGTTTGCAGATCAACTTCTCAACCTGACTCAGGCTGAGACACCATATATATAGGAAGGTTGAGGTAAAATGGAGGGAATTGAGTAAAGGGTGGGAGGAATATTCATGACTTATCCGAGAACTGGGGGTGTGTTTGGACCAGGAACTGAGGCAACACTCCTTTTCAGTCCTTTTTTGGGCTGTTCTGGTTGTTGTCATGGCAGTTGTCAACTGTCATGGCGCTGGTGGGTGTGTCACTTTTAGCATGCTAATGTATCACAGTGAGTGTATAATGAGGCTCAAGGTCCACTGGAGTTTAGGACTTCTGCCATTTTGGGCCTAGTTAGTTCTAACCAGTTTAGAAATTTCTTTAGGAGCAGCTTCCTCCTTTTGTATTTGGGCCTGAAGCTCGATAAGGGCAGTTAGTTTCCGTCTGAGGGAGGGGCAGGAGTATGGTTCTGGGGCAACAGTCTTGGTAACAAATGTGCCTCAACATCTAATCACTGGCGAACTTCTATGATGCTGTCTTTAAACATTGCACCTTTTCTGTCTTCCCACTGCCTTAGGTCAAGTCATCATCACCCTCTCTAGCCCTAATATTTTAATACTGTCCCGGTATCTTTACCTTCAGTACCAATTTAGATAACATGACAGCTAGAATAGTATTCTTAAAGACAATCGTCTTAGCACCTTGTTCTACAAGTTTCAGAGGCTCACCAATGACAGTGTAATAAATTCAAAGTCATTACTCTGGCATTTGAGGGCCTAAAAATAATGTATCAAGGTAAATATTCTCAACATGCAACTTGCTTTGGAACTGAAGTGCTTTGAGCAAATCACCAGTTCCATGATAGACAAACCCCATACCTTTGTCTCTTTGACTATCCTTCTCCTTCATCTGTCTGTTAAAATTCTACCCAACCCCATAACCCCAGAGATGGTGCTTTACACATTACTGGAGACTCCATAACTATTTGGTAAATAAAATTTCAATTTATATTAATTAGTGTGCATTTATAAGTACATATATATTTTTTACATATTTTCTATTTTAGTGTATATTTATTTACTCAGGAACATACATAAAGATTCTGGTATCAGTATTATTTGACCTGATTATTTAGTGATTATATAGCATGGAACAATATATTATGATTTTCCTTTACTGGTCTTTTACAATTGGACTTTTAGGTTGTTCCCAATATTTTGCTAATATAACTAGTGCTATGATGAGTATCCTGGTGCCTGCATCTTTGTGTATATGCAGATATTTTCTCAGGTAAATTCCTGAATTACTGAAGGGAAGAGCTGCATATTTTAAGGCTCTTAATACATATTGAGAAGATGCCCTCCAGAAAGGTTGTTTAAATTTAATTCCCACTAGTAATTCTGGCGACAAATACTGTCAGTTGTTTCCCTTGAAGTGACAGTCTCACTTTGTTCATTTAGAAGAAAATGTCTATCAGATACCCAAGTCTGAGTAACTAGTTTATAGGTCATTCTTTTTCTTTTATGGGTAAATAGCCTTTCAAGAAAAAACACAGTTTAATAGGCAAATCAAACAGTTGCCTAAGTGTTTTTCCTCGCAGCAACCATCTTACTTAGCAGCAGAAGTGTTTTTGAGAACTTCCCATTTTGTCACACAGCATATAAAAAAGACCTGTAACCAAGGGTTGAGGTTTAAGAAAATTAATTGTCTTTTCTACTTCATGAAGGATATTCTTAAATGAAACCAACTCCCTCCAGCCCTGTGGGTCTGTGGTGGTAAGCAGTGTAATGATTGAGACCACTGCCTTGATTTGTGCTAAGATGCAAACTGGTTTACCCACCATTGCTATTTCAACATCACTGCAAATGTCAATACAATGAAAAAGGCAAATAACATCTTAGTATTGCTATGAAACTAATCGACACCTCATGGGTATCTGAAAGGGCGTCAGTAACCTCCAGAGGTCTGTACACAACACTTTGAGAACATTGTTCTAAAGTCCCTATATATGCTTCCATTTTGTCACTCCCTTGTTGGCTAATTGAATCTGCTTTTTAGTTTTTCAGAGCTGTGTAAGAATATTTAGTTTTCATCAGAAAAAAAATTAGGGCATCTCATGGAGTTAGAGTCATGTTGCTTTTCTGCTATTTTTCTCCCACACCAGGTTCATCGTTGGGTCAACTATGAATCCATGCTGAAAGAATGCCTGGTTGGCAGGATGGCCGTTAAACCTGCTTTTCCTAAAGGTACGTGAAGCCAGGGCTAAACTGGCATTGATGTGTGATACACATGGACTGTCTTTTAGGTGGATTTCAGCAAATAGATTTAACGAAATCACTAAATTGTTCTCATTTCACTGGTGCCCTGTTCTAGCCACTGTAAAGATTTTACTTTAGTTCTTTAGAATGAAACAATGACTTTACCTTAAAAATTTGGCATGTTTTGAGAGAACATTCATAGTGTGGAGAATAAGCATAATGGAAGTGAAAGAACTTTATTTACTTAGTTTTCATTAGTCTTTTATTCTCTTGTTACATAGAGTAGCTCGAACAGTTGGTTAGAGGTGACTTTTAGACTAGTTTCCTAAAATTTAATTTTTTGAATATGTAATTGTATTCACATGACTCAAAAATCAGAAAATATAAAAAGTTATACAGTAAAGTTTCCCCTCTCAGCTTTGTCTCCCATTTGCCTTGAACTTTTCCACTCCTTGACTCTTTACCATAAAAACTGATTTTAAAGTACTTTTAAAGAAACCAATTGCTTGGGACTTCCCTGGTGGTCCAGCAGTTAAGACTCTGTGCTCCCAATGCAGAGGGCCTGGGTTCGATCCCTGGTCAGGGAACTAGATCCCACATGCATGCCGCAACTGAGATCCTGCATGCCGCAACTAAAGATCCCATACACTGTAACGAAGATCCCGCGTGCTGCAACTAAGACCTGGTGCAGCCAAATATATAAATAAATGTTAAACAAACAAACAAAAAAACGATTTCTTTCCCTTACCTTCCAAACTGCCACTCAACAATTGGCATGGTGTTGGAGATCATCTCTTTCCTCCTAAGGTTCTTTTGGAAGAGCACCCTTTGAAAAGTTTAGACAGGCAATTGGAGTAGCAGGAGTACTTTGCTTAAATCCTTTACTGTAGATGGAACCGAGTCGTTTCTTTTGAACAGCTCCTGATTTTGACATCCAAATTAGGAATACATTGGCTTGTTTGAGCTGACTCTGCTACTATTTATTTAGTTCAGTGAGTTTTGTATTTCAAGGCCTTACTGTTAGAGGCCTGTGTCAGCTGTATAGAAATAGCACAGGCGTACCTAGGTTTGAACCCTAGCTCCATGGCCTATTGGCTGTGCCATAAAGATGGCAGTTTCAGTCTCTGAGCCTCAAGTTTTTTCATCTGTACACAGATTCATAGGGCTAAGAATTAGTGTAAGTAAATTAGCATGAATGTAACAGAGGCTCAAAAAGTATTTTTTCTTTCTATTGCTATAAAACAAATAAGCAGTACACGCATACAGGCATACTTCGGAAGTATTGCAGGTTCAGTTCCAGACCACTGCTGTAAAGCAAATATTGCAATAAAGCAACTCACGTGAATTTTTTGGTTTCCCAGTGCACATAAAAGTTATGTTTACACTCTATTCCAGTCTATTAAATGTGCAATAGCAGTATGTCTGAAAAAACAACATACATACCTTAATTTAAAGACACTTTGTTACTGAGAAAAGCTAACCATCATCTGAGCCTTCAGAGAGTTGTAATCTTTCTGCTGGTGGAGGGTCTTGCCTCGATGCTGATGGCTGCTGACTGAGCAGGGTGGTGGCTGCTGAAATTGGGGTAGCCGTGGCAACTTCTTAAGATAAGACAGCAGTGAAGTTTGCCACGTTGATTGATTCTTCCTTTCATGACGATTTTTCTGTAGAATGCAGACATGTTTGGTAGCATTTTACCCACAGTAGAACTTCTTTCAAAATCAGTCAGTCCTCTCAAACGCTGCTGCTGCTTTATCAACTAAGTTTCTACTATTCTAAATCCTTTGTTGTCATTTCAACAATCTTAACAGCATCTGCACCAGGAGTAGATTCCATCTCAGGAACCACTTTCTTTTCTCATCCGTAAGAAGCAACCCCTCATCTGTTCAAGTTTTATCATGAAATTGTAGCAAGTCAGTCACATCTTCAGGCTCCACCTCTAATTCCAGTTCCCTTGCTGTTTCTACCATGACTGCAATTATTTCCTCCACTGAAGTCTTGAACCCCTCAAAGTCATCCAGGAGGGTTAGAATCAACTTCTTCCAATCTCCTGTTAATGTTGATATTTTGACCTGTTCCCATGAATCAGGAATGTTCTTGATGGCATCTAGAATAGTGACTCTTTCCAGAAGGTTTTCAATTGACTTTGCCCAGATCCGTCACGGGACTCACCATCAGTGGGAGCTATAGCCTTACAAAATGTATTTTTTAAATAATAACACTTGAAAGTCTAAATGACTCTTTGATCCACAGGGCGCAGAATGGATGTTGTGTCAGCAGGCGTAAAAACAACATGAATCTCATTGAACATCTCCATCAGACATCCTGGGTGACCAGGTGCATTGTCAGTGAGCAGTAATATTTTAAAAGGAATCTTTCTGTTATGAGCAGTAGTTTTCAACAGTGGGGTTAAAATATTCAGAAAACCATATTATAAACAGATATGCTTTATTATTCCATTTATAGAGCACAGGCCGGGTAGATTTAGCATAGTTCTTAAGGGCCCTAAGATTTTCAGAATGGTTAAGTGAGTCCTGGCTTCAACTTCAAGTCAGCAGCTGCCTCAGCCCCTAACAAGAGAGTCAGCCTGTCCTTTGAAGCATTGAAGCCAGGCATTGACTTCTCCTCTCTAGCTATCAAGGTCCTAGATGGCATCTTCTTCCAGTAGAAGGCTGTTTCATCTACACTGAAAATCTGTTGTTTAGTGTAGCCACCTTCGTTAATTATCTTAGCTAGATCTTCTGGATAACATGCTACAGCTTCTACATCAGCTCTTGCTGCTTCCCTGTGAACTTTTATGTTATAGAGATGGCTTCTCTCCTTAAACTTCATGAACCAACCTCTGCTAGCTTCATACTTTTCTTCTGTACCTTCCTGTCCTCTCTCGACCTTCATAGAATTGAAGAGATTAGGGTCTTGCTCTGAGTTAGGCTTTGGCTGAAGGGAATGTCGTGGCTGGTTTAATCTTCTATCCAGGTCGCTAAAACTTTCTCCATGTCAGCAGTAAGGCTGTTTTGCTTTCCTGGAGTAGCACTTTTGATTTCCTTCAAGAACTTTCCCTTTGCATTCACACTTGGGCCGACTGTCTGGTATAAGAGGCCTAGCTTTCAGACTGTCTTGGCTTTTGACATGCCTTCCTCACTAAGCCTAATCATTTCTAGTTTTTGATTTAAAGGGAGAGTCGTGGGACTCTTCCATTCACTTGAACACTTAGAGGCCATTGTAGGGTTATATTAATGGGCCTAATTTCAGATGGTTGTGTCTCAGGGAATAGGGAGGCCCAAGGAGAGGAAGAGACATGGAGAACTGGCCAGTCGATGGAACAGTCAGATCACACATATTTATAGATTGAACTTGCAGTCTTATGTGGGTGCAGTTTGTGGTGCCTCAAAATAATTACAATGGTAACATCAGATCACTGCTCACAGATAACCATAACAAATACAATAATGATGAAAAGGTTTGAAATATTGCCAGAATCACCAAAACGTGCCCTAGAATCATGAAGCGAGCAAATGCGGTTGGAAAAATGGCACCAATAGACTTGCTCAATGCAGGGTTGCCCCAAACCTTCAGTTTTTAAAAACGCAGTATCCGTGAAGTGCAGTAAAGCAAAGCACAATAAAACGAGGTCTGCGTGTATACCAAAAGCAAACTAGTTTGAACTTTAGTGTCTGGCAGTACTTCCAAACCAGTTTACTTTTGTAAACAAATCCCTTTCTTCTCTTAATTGCTCCTGAGTTCACCTATTCACTGCCAGCAGGGGCCATGTTCTTAAGGAAAGATTCTAACTGACTAATTTTACCTCATCCTGAACATTACATATCTTGTTTACACAGTCTGGTACTAAAGGTCATGTGCTTCTCTGTAATTCAGTGTGGTCAGAAAGTGTGCCAGCTCCTTAGGCTTCTGTGTCATAGGAGACATGAAATTAATAAGAGGATTTTTCTGGTTTCCTTCCTTCCTCCCTGGAAATGAAAGACAGATAATCTTCAGAATGTTTCATCAGATACGGCAAACACCGTTTAAAATGAGCAGATTCCACAAGGAATTCCCCAGATATTTAATTAAAACAAAAAGGAGGGGTGCTAGAAGCGGCAGTCCAGGATGATAAGCTAGTTCTGATACCTCCATTTCCCCAAAGCACTTATCAGATACTTGGAACGTAGAGCCACATGGGAATTTTAATGGTCACATAGGAAATGGGAGACCGGATCTTGGGTCTGTAAAGGCAGGGAGTTGGAGCTGAGATCCCTGCCTATGGCTTGACTCTTGAAGTCTGTATGATCAGTGAAATGGGAAGGCTTGAAAAGAAATCTGTGCAACAACAAAGGGAGATGTCGGGATAGTCTGCCTTGACCTTGTTTATGAGGTGATGGAGGAAAGAGAAATCTCCTTTGAGAATTTGTAACCATAGTCTTGCGCACGTAAGAGTTGGGAATTCCAATATATATATACCACCTATGTGGTCTTAGAAACCTCAAACCGAGAAATAAAATGGTCTCCCATTACTGGTTTCCCTGCCTGCTTGGCAGATTTATGTACACATTTTTAATGGTGGAACAAACTTTCAACCTAAAACCCTTAAAATTCCCACAGGGACACATCAGCAGTTATTAGCGTACAGTAGAAAAATTAAACAACACTTGAGGAAGCAAGTCAGCAGAAACAAAAGCAGAATTTCACCCCTTGGACTTTATTATTTGTATACAAGGAATTATAAAAATAATTATGAATAAAAATAATTATGTTTGAAGTGATTAGGAAAATAAGAATGAATTGGTAACATGAGTAAATCAAGAGACTGCTAAAATAATCATGTAAAATTGAAAAAAAAATAGAACTCCTAGAAATGAAAAGTGGAGCTGGTGAGATTAAAAAGTGCATAGCATGAATAGTTAGAGTTTAGACATAGTCAAAGAGTTGAGTGAACTGCCAGACTGAGCAGCAGACGTTGAACAGAATGTGGTGCATAGAAACAAAATGAT